AGCTGGCGCTCGTGGCGGCGGATCTGCACCTTGTGGCGGAAGCGCTCACCGCAGTCCTCGCACACGTAAGGTCGCTCGCCTGAGTGAGTACGTCGGTGCCGCAGCAGGTTAGAGGAGACGCTGAAGCGCTTGCCGCAGTCGCCACACGCATAGGGTCGCTCGCCTGTATGCGTGCGCTGGTGCTGCACAAGCGCTGAGCTCTCGCTAAAGCGCTTGGAGCAGTAGGAGCAGGCGTAAGGTTTCTCGCCCGTGTGGATGCGCTGGTGGGTCACCAGGTTGGAGTGCTGCGAGAAGCCCTTGCCACACTCCCCGCAGCGGTGCGGCCGCTCGCCCGTGTGAGTGGCCTGGTGCCGAACCAGGTCCGTGCTGCGGCTAAAGCCCTTGCCGCACTCCCCGCAGATGGTTGGCCGATCCTTTCCGGAGGTGCCACCACGACGGCCGCCGGGGTCCCCGGGACCGCGGCCCCGTTAGTCCCTGCAGCAGCGGGCACCAGCTCCAGCTGTAGTTCGGGCTGCACGGGCGTCAACTCCAGCTGCACCTCCTGCGTCTGAGCGCCCAGGTCCACGGGGGTCAGCTCCAGCTGCACCTCCTGCTGCTCCAGCTGCTGTTGCTCCAGCTGCTGTTGCTCCAGCTGCTGCTGCTCCAGCTGCCGCTCCAGCTGCTGCAGCTGCTCCTGCAGTTTGAGCTGCAGCTGCCTCTGCTCCTGCTGCCGTTCCAGCTCTTGTTGCTGCTCCAATTCCTGCTGCCGCTCCAGTTCTTGCTCTGACCCCAGGTCCACGGGCATGAGCTCCAGCTCTACCTCTTCTTCCTCCTCTGGGTCCAATGCAGCAGGAGGCTGCTGCAGAGGCTCCTGCTGCTGTTGCTGGAGCTGCCCCTGCTGCTGCAGCACGAGGTGCTGCTGGATCTGTGCCTGCTGCTGCTGGAGTAACAGCTGCTGCTGTAACTGTTCCTGCTGCTGCAGCAACAGTAGCTGCTGTTGCCGGAGCTGCTCCTCCTGCTGTTGGAACTGTTGCTGCTGTAGTTGTTTCTGCTGTTGTAACAGTTGTTGCTGCTGTAGTACTTGCTGCTGCTGTTGCAACAGTTGCTCTTGCATTTGCTGCTGCTGTAACTGTTTCTGCTGCTGCAACAGTTGCTCTTCCACTTGCTGCTGCTGCAGTAGTTGCTCTTTTACCTGCTGCTGCTGTAACTGTTCCTGTTCTTGTTGCTGCTGCAATCGTTGCTCTTGCACTTGCTGCTGCTGTAACCCTTCCTTTTCCTCCTCCTCCTCCTCCTCCTCCTCCTCCTGCTGCTGCTGCTGCACTTGTTGCTCTTGCACCAGCTGTTCCACCTGTCCATGCTGTTGATTTAGCTGCAGCTGTGGAGTCAGTTTCTGTTGTTGCACAGGTTGGTGGTTTTCCTGTAGTTCCTGCTGTAGTTCAGGCAGCTGCTGTTGCCCATCCTGCTGCTGCTGTTGTAATTTTGGTTGACGTTCTAGTAGTTGGTTCTGTGGTTGCTGGTGTTGTGGTTCATACTGTGACTGTTGCTGCAATTCTGGCTGCTGCTCTAACTGTTGCTGTTGTAACTCCTGCTGTCCTGGCTGGGCTTCCTCAGTGATGTTACTGGCCTGTCTTGGGGCTGACGCTGCTGGTAGTTGGGGGCTGCTGCTCCCCTCTTCCTCCTCTTGACTCTCGTTCCCACATCTGCCACCTGTAGTGGAAATGGCCAGGAGAGAAGGATCTACAGGCAGCTGTCTGGTCCAGTCTCACAGGACCTGCCCTTTACCCTTTCCACACACAGCCGCTCATGCACTGAGCTCAGCAGAGACCCAAAAGATCAAGTGACAGTGGCAGCATGGCAGACAGTGAAATGCCAGGGGTGGAGGTTTAGAAATATGCCTAAGGGAATGTTGGTCACTTCACTCTTGTCCCCAACTCCCTGACCTCTTCTTTACACTTCCCTTCATACAAGCGTAGATCTTGGCAACTATACCAGGACATGTGCCAACAGCTCCCAACACCATTCTCTGCAGAGTCACTTGCATTTCATCCGCATCCACTGGAAATCAGAGAGCCAACCATTCCAGCGGCTGAAGCCATCCATCCCATGCTGAACTCTGACCTCAGTGATGGACACACCTTCAATAAATGAGCTCAACTTCTCTGAAAACAATAAGCACTTCAAAGCTTCCTGGAACAGTTTTGAGAAATCACTTTGGTGATTTGAAACCAGGTTTCAGGTGGGCAGCCCTTGCTTCAGAACCTGACTTCCAATTAGTTCAAGAGCCTGGAATATTCTCTATGGCCTGGCAGATGCTTAAAAATTCTCCCCACTTGGAAATCCTCAGTATTCAATTAGCTGTGTTTGAAACACTCTGACTAAAAGTGTTTTGGATTGACATTCAAGAATGAAAAAGGACCAAGCCCCATGGAGACTGACCAATTAATTTCATGGAACTTCAGTTTCCCTTTTTGCAAAAGGAGATATGTCTCTCTCAGGAACACTGAAGTCCAGAGAGGACCAATGTAGAGCCTTAGTATTGGGTGAGGGGTGAGACAAAAACACAAGAGTTCTTCATTACTTCTTCTGCACAATGCCCAAATCCAATTTCTCTAAATATTAATATTGTACTATCAGAAAACCCTAATTCTTTACGTGTATGAACCTAGGAATTTCTCTATTTCCAAATCTGATTTCAACATATATTCTTTCCACAAGATCCTATTTTAAATTTTGTAATGGAAAGCAGTGATTTGACTGATAGAATTTTTGCTTTCTGGCCATTTCTCCAGGAATATCTTGATTTAATAAAACCAAAGGCGGGCTGGTGATTTAGCTCAGTGGTGCCGCTGCCTGCCTTGCAAGTGCAAGGTCCCAAGTTCTATCCCCATTCAAAAATAAATAAATAAATAAATAAAACCAAAGGATATCTACATGCATATCATCCTCTTTTAGAAAAACATTTCTAATGATCCTTGCTTAGGCTAATGATCATAGAGTGCGTTTTTCAGAGTCACTCACACCAGGCTGGGGGTATGCAGATAGTGGATGAAGACAACCATGAAAACCTCTCCCTACAGCAAGTCTGAGGTCTCTTAGGCACCCTCTTCTCCAACCTCCTGTGGGAGCCACAGGGACAAATTATACTTCTGTGTGACTCTCATATCTAGCTTAGTCACGTTCTCACTGTGACTTTCTGGGGCAGTAATTCCAGCATTTTTATCAAAGACAATTTGTAAATATGTATTTAAGTGTTGCTTAATATGTATACCCTTGCAAGATTTTTGTCAGTTAAATTTATAAATCAGAAGAATCCTAGCCAGGCACATGACTGTAATAACAGCATTCTGGGAGACTGCAGCAGAAGTTCAAGCAAGTTCAAGCCTAGCCTGGACAGCTTTGCAGCTTAGCAAGATCTTGTCTGAAAATTTAAAAAAAAAAAAAAAAAAAAAGAAAGAAAAGAAAAGAAAGAGAGGGGCTGGGGACATAACTCAGTGCCCTGGGTAAAATCCTCAGTACTGAAGGGAAAAAAAAACAGACTTTGTTTAATCCACATGTCCCCATCAACCCTTCCGATTCCATCTGTCCTTGCAAACTCTGTTCAACTCTGCCCTGGACCCTATTCAGTGCCCTTAAAGCACCGACAGGAAGAAGGCTGTCCTGATGACGGCCATGGTAAAAGGCTCATGCAGCATGGGTCCCAGAGGGAGAGCTCCTGGAAGACTTGGTAGCGCATTTGCCTCTGGCATCAGGTGGAGAAAAACAGAGAGAAGCAGTGGTCTAGGACAAATAGGCAGGGATAGAGGCCACTAGGGAAAGACGACAGAGTCCAAGCCTGAGGCACAAGGAGCAAAGGGGAGAATATTTTTGCCCCAGAGTACATCCAGGAACTGAAGACCAGAGCCAGGTCTGGGTAGAAGGACAGTGGAGACACCTGACTGTGGGGCAGGTGGGACCAAGTTCCAGCCAGCACCAGTGTGGGGGTCCCCTTGCCAGCAAGACCTCAGGCTGACCCAGCCACCTGGGAAAATCCCAGGGCCAACATGTAAGTGTGACTCAAGGCAGCAGAAGTTGCAGGTGTGAGTGGGTGTGGGCTGCCAGCCACGCCAAAGTACCTTTCTCTGCCACAGCTGGCCTTGGGTTCTGTCAAAGGACCCTTGCTGGGGAGGTCTCATCATCCCTCCCCCAGCCCTCACCTGAGAGGGTGTCAGGCCCTGGGCCCCCATCCGCAAGACATCGAAGCTCCAACACGAAGGTCTTTGATGCAGGCCCCAGTTCCATCCTGGCGGTCACACCGGGGTCTCTGGGAGCCGGCTGTGCTGAGAGGAAGGAAGGAATGTGGGAGGTGACAGCTTCTCCTGGCTATTCAGGGGGCTCCATATCAGCCCCAACAGAGCTGGTGGCAACTCCTCATTGAGACACGATTGAGGGAATCAGCCTCCAAAGGCAGTGAGCCAGAGTCATAAAGATACATTCAGGGTGTTCTCTGGCAAAAGAATGTCCATGTCACATTTCCCCTGCAGCCTTCAAAGGATGTCAATTCATTCGGACTCCCCAGGCCTTCTGGGAGCTCTGCTCTGGGAGCTCACCCAGCCTTCAAGGGCCACCGGCAGGCCACCCCAGCTCCTGAGAAGGCAGGTGCTCAGAGGGCTGTAGCTCAGGACAGGAGCTGCCAGCCTACCTGCACTCCTGAACCCGCCCTGCAGAGGTGGCCCCACATCCAAGCCTCCCCTCTCCCCCACCTGGGCTGACTCCCGCTCCCTGGGCCTTCGGAAAGACAGTGCAAACCTTCCTAAGAGAGGCACCCCAGGGCCTCACCTGGGACAGCATTTCCTGCGGTGGCAGGTGGGCCGCAGCCCCTGCACTCGGGAGGTGTGGTCAGCAGAGGCTGCAAGGTGAAGGCCAGACAGCATTCAGCCGGCTCCTTCTGGAGGCGCCTCCATCCAGGGAGGCAGCGACCACTCCGGGAGACCCTTCTGGGCACTCCGGAGGGTCCAGGCTGTCAGGGCTGCCGAAGTCGCCCTGGGCCAAGAGAAGGGGCAGGGTGGAGTTCCCGGGCAAAAGTTGGTGGAGACTTTCAGGTGGGGGCGCAGGCCACAGGCAGAGACCCGGATCCCCTCGGGGCTCAGGGGTCGCCCCGGGGGGCCATCGCGCGCAGCAGGGTCCGTGTTGGGGCCCTAGCTCGGCCCCAAAGGATGGCC